CACTCGCTCCCCGGGCGAGAACCCCTCGGACGAGGACGGCCTGGGCCGGCGCCGCGCTTCCGGATGCAGCGGCCGGCGCGGCGGCGGGCGCAGCGCTACGTGCGGGCGTTGCCACGGGCGCGGCGGCGGGCTTCTGGGCGGAGCCGCCGCCGCTGCCGCCGCGACAACTCGGGCACGCCTTGCACGAGCACTTGCCGCAGTGAGACGACTCCTCCAGAGGGCGGCACCAGTCGAGGCACGTCTCGTACGCCGTGTCCCATTTCGCCACCGCGGGGCACGGGTGGGTGATGTCCTCGCGGTACTGGGCGCATAGGGCGACGCAGCCGGCGCAGAGCTCCTTTGGGCAGTGGTCGCGTGGCGAGCGGCACCACGAAGCGCAGCGGTTGCCGCGGTTGCCCTTTTTCGGCAGCTGGGCCTCGCTCACGCTGATGGCGAGCGCGGCGGCGAGCGCGGCGAAGAGCAGGGATCGCTGCTGCGAGCTTTTTTGCATCGCTCGTCTCTGCCCGCCCTCGAGCCGCCGTGGTTGTTCACACCATTGCGTGCTTCAACAAGATCCGTTGTTCACGCTGCTCGAGGACACACTCGTCACAGCCCGCGAGGGCCTATGGCCTGCGGGAATCTGAGTCTGAAGTGGTGAAGTGCTGGCCCGTGGTCGGAGGCGTGCCGGGTATTACACGTGCTCGCTAAGCTGGTGTGTGTGCGGAAGTGGGGTGCCTCCACGGCCACCGACCGAGAGGAACGGTCGGTCGCGTGCGGGTAGGGCGACTCGACCGGTGGCCGCACTCGGTGTTCCTTTTCCCGCAGAGCAGATTGTGAATTAGCTTGCCTTTGGCGGGGGCGGGCGAGCGAGTGCACGGAGCTAAGTGCCTCGCTCGCCGCCCTCGCGGGAGTCGCTTAGGCGGCCGGCTCCCGCAGTGTACCTGTGTTAGTGCCAGTGCGCGCCAGTCCCGTGCCCACCCAGTGTCGTGCGAGGGAGTTTTGTTGTAAATTCTTTTCCCTTGCTTTTCCCTTTGTTTAAATTCTTTCCCCTGTGTTAGTGCCAGTGCGCGCCAGTCCCGTGCCCAGTGTATAAATAAATAAATAAATAAACCGGACATCCCAAGCTAGGGCTGGGTCGAGGACAGTGTTGTGCGAGGGAGCTTCGTTGTAAAATTCTTTTCCATCGGCGGTTCCGAGAGCACTTGGAGCACTTGGAGTGCGGTCATTAACCTCACGCCCAGGACCGAGAGAGACCACGTTCCGCTGACGCGGCCCGGACGCACGCATTTCGCTCGACGCCAAGTGTGCAGGATGTCCCATCGGAGCGAGGAGCGTCGCTGGCGTGATGAGCAACGGCGCGACGAGTGCGGACGCGAAGAGTGGCGATGGCAGGGCGAGCGACGGCGGTCGCGATCACGCGATGAGCCGCGGCGGGATGAGCTGCGACGGCGCGACGAGCGTTGGCAAGGCGAGCAATGGCCGCACCACGGGCGGCATGACGAGCGGCGCGGCTACAACGACTCTTGGTGCAGTGGTCGCGAGCAGCGAAGGCACGCTGAGCCACAATGGCCCGCTGAGCGATGGCGCGACGAGCCATGGCGAGGCGAGCAACGGCCGCATCATGACGCGCGGCATGACGAGCGGCGCGGCTTCGACGATCGGGGCAGAGGCGAGCGCGAGCGCGACTGGCACGATCGGCGCGATGACCGGCGCGATGACCGACGCGGCGAGGGGCAGCCTCAGCACAGCGGTCGCCGGGAGAGACCGCCGATGCACGGAGCGCAAGGACGCGACGCACGAATGTGCAATGATCGCCCCTTCTCGAGCCGCTGCGCTGACACTGATCAGGTCGACCCTCGGAAGCTGACCACTTTGATAAGCCAGGCTGGCAGCGCTGACGCATTGCTCACGCTCTCTGCTGCCCACAGCACGAGCTTAAACCACATCCACGCTGCGAACCTGTGGAACAAACTGGGCAAGCAGCGCATCGAGCGGCCGCACGAGGAGCAGCTAGAGCGGCTGGTGAAGCGCACGCTCGAACTCATACCGGCATGCGAAGCACGCAACCTGGCAAACATCGCTCACGGAGTGGCAAAGTGCCGGCTGCCAGTGAGTGTGGTGCGCTCGCTGTACGCGGCGGTGGCGGAGGCGGCGGTGCAGAGCGGGCTGGCGGGCTTCAATCCGCAGGGGCTAGCCAACACGGCGTGGGCGTACGCGACGGTGGGCGTGGCTGCGGACGCGCTGTACGCGGCGGTGGCGGAGGCGGCGGTGCGCAGCGGGCTGGCTGGCTTCAACCCGCAGGATCTGGCCAACACGGTGTGGGCGTACGCGACGGCGGGCGTGGCTGCGGACGCGCTGTACGCGGCGGTGGCGGAGGCGGCGGTGCGCAGCAGGCTGGCTGGCTTCACCCCTCAGAACCTGGCCATGACGGTGTGGGCGTATGCGACTGCGGGCGTGGCTGCGGACGCGCTGTACGCGGCGGTGGCGGAGGCGGCGGTGCGCGGCGGGCTGGCGGGCTTCAAGCCGCAGGAGCTGGCCAACACGGTGTGGGCGTATGCGACGGCGGGCGTGGCTGCGGACGCGCTGTACGCGACGGTAGCGGAGGCGGCGGTGCGCGGCGGGCTGGCTGGCTTCAACCCTCAGAACCTGGCCAACACGGTGTGGGCGTACGCGACGGCGGGCGTGGCTGCGGACGCGCTGTACGCGGCGGTGGCGGAGGCGGCGGTGCGCAGCAGGCTGGCTGGCTTCACCCCTCAGAACCTGGCCATGACGGTGTGGGCGTATGCGACTGCGGGCGTGGCTGCGGACGCGCTGTACGCGGCGGTGGCGGAGGCGGCGGTGCGCGGCGGGCTGGCGGGCTTCAAGCCGCAGGAGCTGGCCAACACGGTGTGGGCGTATGCGACGGCGGGCGTGGCTGCGGACGCGCTGTACGCGGCGGTGGCGGAGGCGGCGGTGCGGAGCGGGCTGGCTGGCTTCAACCCGCAGGACCTGGCCAACACGGCGTGGGCGTATGCGACGGCAGACTATTATCACCAGGCGCTGCTTGCCGACTGCTCGCGCGTGATCAGCGACTCGCTCGCGCGGGATCCGTCGAGGTGGAGTGTCGGGAGCCGCCGTCAGCTGCACCAGTGGCAGCTCTGGCTCTCTCTTGAGCGAGGCGAAGACGGGCAGCAGCATCTTCTCCCCACCTCTGAGCGCAAGCTTTGCAACGACACTATGGTGGCGACCATAGCTCGGCCGTCAGGCTTGCAGCGCTCGGTAACGGTTGCCCTCGCCGCCGTCCGCTCCGGCTTCGAGGAGGAGCACCTCGAGCCGCGCACCGGCTACTCGCTCGACCTGGCGCTGCCCTCTTCACGCATCGCGATTGAGGTGGACGGCCCCTCTCACTTCCTGCTGCCCGACGGCCGGAGCGTGCGCAGACCCAATGGGCCAACGCTGCTCAAGCGGCGCCTCCTCGCGGCGGCTGGCTGGAGGGTGATCAGCGTTCCATTCTACGAGTGGGACGGCTTCGCGACGGCCAAGGAGCGGCAAACCTACCTGCAGGGGGCGGTCGCCCCGCTGTTGGGGTAGTGCTGTGCGCCAGTCCCGTGCCCGTGTAAAGCATGCAATCCCGACCATACCACACCCCGCAAAAAGTTGGAACCCTGCTGTCGTTCAAGCCATCCCAGCCCAGGACCTTGTCCCGCTGTGCTGTCGTCCCGGACCCGGACCGTCCCGGACCCGACCTGCGCTGTCCTCGATGTTCGGCACGCCAGCGGCCCGACCTCCGCGCCGCAAAGTCCTCTGGATCGGCTTCTCTCCAACCGCCAACACGCCACCCGAGCTCTGCATCACGCCGCCGTCGGCCTGGCTCTCTGGTGGACGGATGTCGCCCTCGTCGTCGCCCACATCGCCTCGCAATCCTCGAGCCCTGCGCATCTCGCACCCGCGCCTCGCCCTCGCGATGCTCGCCTCCTGCTCCGTCCTGCTCCTCCTCATGGTGGCGACGACCTCCTCAGGCAAGCCGCGGCAGCTCCTCCAGAGGGAAGGCCTCCTCTTTGGACGGACGCCGATGGCCGGCGGCCTTTCCGCCATGCTCTATGGAGATGGCATCGCGGTGGAGATCCCGGACCCACGTTCTCCAGCGGCTGCTGCGCCCGCCGTGGCTCCGTCACGGCCAGACGGCTCTCCGGCGTCAAAGGCTGCGCCAGCCGCGGCCCCGTCGCGGCCAATCCGCGCCGCAGCTCCGGCTCCGCTGTCGCCGGTGGCGGCGGCTGCGGCGCCGGTCCCAGCCGCGTCGCCATCGCGGCCCAAAAGTAGCTCCAGCTCCAGCCTTACGGCCGAAAGCAGACCCGTCCGTACAGAGGCCGCAGCGCCGAGCCCCGCCTCTGGCCTCTCCCGGCCGGTCAGTCGGTCTTGTCCGGGCTGTCCCGCCGAGGACACGTCCACGACACGTCCACGACGCCTCTCCCGTAGGCGCACCACGCGCGGCTTCTTCCGCCGCAGACCGCCCCTGCCGCCTCCTCCGCCTCCGCCGCCTCCTCCGCCTCTGCCGCCTCCTCCACCCCTGCCGCCTCCTCCGCCCCTGCCGCCTCCTCAGCCTCGACCGCCTCCTCCGCCCCCGCACACCGCGGCGGAGGCGGCTTCCCGGCCGCTCGCAGCCTCGTCAACGTGACGTTTGCCTTTGCTCGCACGCCCCTGCTGGGCGGCTCCGCCGAGCTCTTCTGGCTGAGCGACAACGCCACCGAGCGCTGGTACGCCTCGCTGCCGGCCGGGGTCGAGGTGTGAACAGCGTCCGTTCACACCTCGAGCTGTGAACAGGTACGCCTCGCTGCCGGCCGGGCTCGAGGTGACGGAGAGGACGTACCCAGGACAGTGCTGGCGCGCGCGCGACGCCACGACAGGCGACGAGCCCGCCCCCTCGCGCGATCTCCCGCAATCTCGCACAATCTCCCACAGCGACGAGCCCGCCCCCTCGCGCAATCTCCCGCAATCTCGCACAGTCTCCCACAGCGACGAGCCCGCCCCTCGCGCAATCTCCCACGATCTCCCACAATCTCCCACAGCGACGAGCCCGACTCTCGCGCCCGCTCCTGCGCGCCGGCCGCACGGCGTCTCTTCACACCCGCCGCGCGTCCGAGCAGGGAACCACCTCCTCTCGTACTGCGCCACCCTCGCGCCGTCGCAGACAGTCGCCATCGCGCCGGCGGGGGCGGCGCGCCTCGCCCTTCGCTTCTCATCTCCACCACCAAACCTCTACCCCAAACCCTGACCCCCAACCCCTACCCCAACTTCTACCCCAAACCGAACCCCCCCCCACCCCCACCCCCACCCCCCACCCCCCACCCACCCCCTAGGTCCGCCTCGACTTTCACTTCTCGCCGACGGCGAAGCTCGCGCCGAGCGCCACGGTCGTCGAGGAGTCGGCAGGGAGGGCTCCAACCACGGTGGGGACCCTCCGGCAGGGAGGCACGCTCTCGGTGCAAGCCTCGGCCGGTGCGCGCTACCGCGTCGTCGAGGGCGGGAGCGGCAAGACGATCGCCCGGCAGACGGCGTCTCACGAGGCGCCGGCAGCACGCAGGACGGGGTTCCGGTGGCACAGGCGACGCGTCCACGACACCGCGCACCACGACCGCCGTGTAGGCGGAGCAGCACGTCGACGTCGGCAGCCCCGTCGTGCTCCGCTTCAGCGTGCAGCCGTCCCGCTTCCACGTCGGGGGCGAGGCCGGAGGCAGGCTCTCCCTCTACTGGAGCTGGGCGGGCGAGGGCGGGAGCGGGTACGTAGATGCGGCAGCACAGTGTGCCCATGGCGTTTCGACGGGGCACGTGCCAACCACGTACCAACCACGCACTCGAGCCGCGGTTGCATCCGTCGCCCTCGTCGTCACGCGGTGCGCTGCCGTGTACCCACACCCTCACCCCGCTGCATCCTCAGCCCAGGTTCGGGGCCGAGCACCTCGAGGCGACTCTGGCGGAGGGAGAGACGAGGCGCGAGATCACGCGAGATCACCCGAGATTGCAGACCTCCTCTGGCGGAGGGAGAGACGAGGCGCGAGATCACGCGAGATCACCCGAGATTGCAGACCTCCTCTGGCGGAGGGAGATGCGAGGCGCGAGATCACGCGAGATCACCCGAGATTGCAGACCTCCTCTGGCGGAGGGAGATACGAGGCGCGAGATCACGCGAGATCACCCGAGATTGCAGACCTCCTCTGGCGGAGGGAGAGACGGGGCGCGCGCCGCCGCGGAGAAGGACTCGCGAGTGACGGCCGGCTCATTCCTCCCAGTCTAGCGAGTGGCGGGAGGGGGCGGACGCGAGTGACGACCAACTCCTGCCTCCGGACGCGCGTCCTCCCTCCCGCTTCTAGGAGCATCGCGACGATGTCCGGCGAGCGCTGGATCGTGCGAGACGCAGCCGGCCGGCAGGTGCGCCAGAGCTACTTGATTGAGAATAGTGTCGATGAAGTACTCACCAAGGGCCGGGCGGCAGGTGCGCGCCGTCGTCGCCGCGGACGCGCCGGCGGAGCAGGCGGTCGTGCTGGACGCGAGGTGGGCGGTTTGGCATTGACGGCGGCGTGCGCGGCCCAAGAGCGAAGGCGGCAGGACGACTCGCATATTTGACTCACTGCATGTGCTGAGGGAGGAGCTAGGGCGCGACCACGGCGAGAGCGCGAGGGCGCAGTGCCAGTGGATACCGCGCCAGCCGGGCCCCGTGTCGCCCCTGGCCGCGAGGAGAGAGGAAGGTGTACGTTGACTGTTGTGTGTATGCCGCTCCATGATGCTCGGATATTATGCTCGTACTGTGTATTGTGTGGCATGTGCGTGGCGCGTGTCTAAGACCTCACTTCGTCCACGCGGGAGACAGCGGCGCTCGTCACACGTCACTCGTCAGCGCGCAGCGCGGGCACTACGTCAAGCTCTAAGGACTGGCACTGGGAACGAGAGGAGAGGTCGAGGTCGAGGAAGGAGGGATATGAGAATAACAAGTCTGGCGCAGGCGAACGAAGAGGGGAACAGCGAACACCACCAGCGGCGCAGTTGTCCCTCTCCCTGCTCAGAGTGCTTGACACTCTGCTCTCTCGATCCACGCTCGACACTTGTCACTTCCTCGCGCGTCGGCGGCCGGGGCGCACCCCTGGGCAGGCCACAGAGTGACTGTACGACCAGGGGAAGGAACTCCCAAGGTACGAGCGTACGACACATCGGCCACCTCACATGCCGTGGCCGTATGTCGCCATCACCTCGTCGTACTCGGGGCGCTCCTCCCAGGGAAGCGCGTACGTGCCGACGACCTCTTAGCCGCTCAGGTCGGTCCGGCCGTGCAGAAGAAAGTGGCCGATGTAGGAGACGAGCCAGAGTCCTCACCGTCTTCGGCGTCGTGGCTCGAGGCGAGTAGCGAGAGAGAACAAACGTAGGCGACCCGGATGTTGGACCCGGTGGGGTTGCGCGCCGCCTGCGTTGCAGCCTCCAGGCCGTTCATCACGAACTCGACGTTCTCGCGCAGCTGCGCGTGCGGGTAGTCCGCACGCTCGGCCTCGCTCGCAGCCGCCGCCGCAGCCTTCTTCTCCGCCTTGTTCGCCTTCTGCCGGGCCTTTTTGGCCCTGCGAGCCGCGGCCCGAGCATCCTTCTGCTCCTCCGTCGGCTCCTCCTTCCGCGGCGCGGTGCGCTCGACGAAGAGCGCTCCGCCGCCTGCACCGGCTCGCTTCAAAGGCAAAAACGCCGGCGTACGCCCTCCCCTCACACTGACACTTCTCCCCTATTCCCAACTTTAGGTTGCGCACGTCTCCCAGCGAGCTAGGATCTCCGCTTTTTCTCCCCTAGTCATCCGCCCGCGCCGCGCGCCTCTATGGGCGTCTAGTGCAGCCACTGACAGAACTATTCCCGAGGAGTGGTCGACGTCTCGCCTGAAGTCGGGTGGGCTCGCGCACTGCTTAGCCCTAGGGGAGGGGGGTGTGTGTGCGAGACCGAGAGGTGGGGTGGAATGGTAAGTAAGGTTTCAGGCCCCAGCCTAACAAGTTCATGCGTCGTGCTGCACTCCAAGAAAGTGCGGCTCCTCCGCCCTGGATGTGAGGTTGATGACCGCACTCCAAGAAAACCGGGCGACGAGTAAGGGAACTGCACTCCAAGTGCTCCAAGTGCTGGGCGCTCACACCCCGATGTACTGAGAACTGGCGTTGGAGAGAGACTACCCCGCCCTCCTCCTCCGCCGCCGCCCCACTCCCTGAGCCACTCCCGCGAGCGCAAGTCCGCCTGCCTCACGCGGCGTCGGGTCGAGACGCCGCCGCCTCCGCTGCGCGACGCCGAGGGCGGGGCGGCGTGGGGCCAGCGACCCCTCAGCAAGCGTCAGCCGGGCGCGGTGCCAGATGCGCGCGTCATGTCCTCCTCTCAGCGGCTCTCTATGAGCGCTGGGCCGCGTCCGCCGCCTTCCTTGCAGCGGCCGCCTTGGCCCTCGCAGCGGCCGCGCGCCTCGCCTTTGCGGCGGCCATCGCCGCCTCCGCTGCCGCCGTGGCCGCCTCAGCTGCCGCAAGTGCCGCGGCCGCGGCTTCCTCCTCGGCCGCGGCTTCCTCCTCCTCCGCCTCTGCCTCCTCCTCCTCCTCCTCCGCCTCCTCGGCCAAACGCTCCGCCTCGACCATCTCAGCTAAAGCCGCTGCCTGGCTCTCCGCCGTGATGCCGAGCCGGATCCTCTCCTCGTGACAACTTTCGAGAAGCCTGATCAATCTCGCCTCCTCGGCCTTCTTTGCGGCCTCGGCTGCGGCTGCCTCCGACAGCACCTCGGCACCCTCTGATGGCGCCTCTGCGCCCTCCACCGCCGCCTCGGGCTCCTGCGACGGCCCAGCGGCGCTCCCGCCGCCCTTCTTCTTCTTCTTGCCCTTCTTGCCCTTGCCGCGCTTCTCCGCCTCGACCTCCGCCAGCAGCTCTTCGGCGTGCCGCGCCGCCTCCGCCTCCGCCGCCGCCCGCTCCGCCGCCCTCTCCGCCGCCTCCGCAGCCCACGCCGCCTCCTTCGCCACCGCCTCGGCCGCCGCCTTGGCCGCCGCATGCTCCTCGAGGGCGCGCACGCACTCGGCGCTGCCCTGCTCCTTGGCAATCTGCAGCGCTGTGCGTCCACTCGCCGCGCGCAGTTCCGTGTCAGCGCCCGCCCGCAGCAGGCAGAGTACGGCCGCGGGTTGGTCCCAAATAGCGGCGAACATCAGCGCGGTGGCACCCTTGCTGTTCTGCAAGTTGATCTCCGCGCCATGCTGCAGCAGCACCTCGGCCATTCGCTCGTGGCCGACCGCGGCGAACATCAGCGCGGTGCTACCGATGTTGCTCTGCAGGTCGACCGAAGCGCCACGCTGCAGCAACGCCATGGCCAGCCGCTCGTGGCCGTAGAGGGCAGCGTACATCAGCAGCGTAATGCCACTCGCACCCTCAACAGTGAAAGTCGCGTCCACCCGCCCGCCGCCGTCGAGCCACACCAGCACCGCCTCGCCGCCTTGCACAGCCGCCGCCACGACCTCCTCGGGGACGGCCTCCTCGCCCGTTCCGCTCTCCACGCCGCCAGAAGAGGACGCGGCAGTTGGTGCCGCCGCCGCCCCCTTGCCCGAGGCGGCATCGCCGTCCGCCCCCGCGCCGCCCGCCTCGACCGCCGCCGCGTCGCGCCTCTCCGCCGCCACCTCGCCGAGAAACGTCTTGACGGCGGCGACGCACTCGGTGTGGCCCTTCTCTTTGGCGATCTGCAGCGCCGTCTCGCCCGCCGCAGTGCGCAGCTTCATGTCTGCGCCCGCCCGCAGCAACTGGAGCACGACGGCAGAGTGGCCTTCGAAGGCGGCGCTCGTGAGCGCAGTGTAGCCGCTGCCGTCCTGCAGGTCGACCTCTGCGCCGTGCCGACACAGCAGCTCGACCACCCGCTTGTGGCCGTGAAAGGCGGCGCTCGCGAGCGCGGTGCAGCCGCCGCTGTCCTGAAGGTTGATCTCCGCGCCGTGCTGCAGCAGCGTCTCGACCACCTGCACGTGGCCGTCGAGGGCGGCGGCAATCAGCGCCGTAGTGCCGATGCTGTCTTGCGCGTCCGGCTTCGCGCCCCGCTTCAGCAGAACCTCGACCAGCTGCTTGTGACCGTGTCCGGCGGCGATCAGCAGGAGCGTACAGCCACTCACACCGCGATGCACGCACGTCGTGTCAACCCGCCCGTCCCCGACGAGCCACGTCTGCACCACACCCACCTTGCCGTCCGCCGCCGCGGCTTGGATCTTTTTCGGCAGCGCGAGCGACGCAGCCTGTGACGCCGTCGAAGCGCGCACGCGCCGGGACGCGGTCCCGGCTGAGCCAGCCTTCGTTCGGCCGGGCATACGACGACCGGCGGTGGAAGCGCGCAAGGGTTGGTTCCTGGGTTCCGGCTCCTACCCGGATCTACCCAACGAGGCCGCGAGATAGGATTTTCGCGTCAGTGGCGGCCAACACAGAAACAGCGTGCTACTGTGTTGGGTGCTGGAGGCGCCCCTGATGCCACTGGACTCAATCCGAGCCGGCGGCGCCTTCGTCCGGGCCCACGGCCGGCACGCCGTCAATTTTTCTCGCCGATTCCGCGCGCTCGGCCGCCACCGCGGCGCCTCCGAGAGCGCCGTTTCGACACGCTGCAGCGGCGGGCCGCGGCACCTCGACACACCGCTTCTCGCGCCGCCTCGAGGTGCTCCGATCGTGCACGCGGGTCGGCTCGGCACGGTGCGTGCAAATTATTGCATGTATTCGCACTCGCTGCGCCACGTATCTGCCTCTGACGGCCCGATACGCCTCCCGAAGCGCCACAGGTCCACACACGCGGGGCTGCGCGAATCTCTCGCGGCCCACCGCCCTCCCACACGCCGTTCGACCTCCACACAGGCGCTCGCTCGAGCCTCGCCGTCCGGGCGGTCCTGCGCGTCCAGATCTCGGCGACCATGACCCGCCACGCGCCAGCTCTGCGCCTCTCCCGCGCGCGCCCGGCTGCTGGCATGGCGTGGCGGGGCGAGCTAACCCATTTTTGTTCGTCTTGTCCCCGCTGGTTCGGGGTCCCCGGTGTCTCTGCTTCCCTCTGTTTTTCCTGGTGCTGTCGCCGTCTCCTTGTTGTCCGCGCCTCCTCCTTTCTTTG